ACCAGTTCAACCTAACGAACAATGGGAAAAGAGTTTTAAAACAGAAAGCCCGGAGTTTAATGGAGGACCCACTGCAGAAGAATTACTTGATAAGATCGCCACAGTCGAAGAGAATTTGGAATTTAAACACATCCCTCTGTATCAGTGTTTTCCGGTGCTAGATATGCGTTTTCGTAATAGAGCCGTCGTGTGGTGGACACAACTTAAAGCAAGCAGAAACAGTTTAAAGAAACCAAAGATCACGACATGGGACAAGTTGAAGAAACACCTTCAGAAGACATTATTACCGTACAACAACAATAAACTCATGATTCAGAAACTTCACCACCTACAACAAGGTTCTCGTACCGTTGAGGAATATTCTACCGAATTTTTTTTATTACTCAACAGAATCGAGAACCATGATTCCGAAAGACAAGTAGTGGCTCGTTTCATCGGTGGGTTACGTCAACAAATTCAACATACATTGAATTTATTTAATCCTCTCACCGTCTCTGAAGCTCATCAACAAGCACTTACCGTCGAGGCTCAAAACCGGTCCAAAAATTATTGGAACACGCCTCGCCAGCGACTAGCAGCTACAATTCCTACGGAAACAACAACGGACACCAAGCTCCCTCCTACAACAGAAACAGCCATTGTCTCAGCAGACCAAGGGCGTCCTGCTCGAACTGGTACTCTTCGTTGCTTCGCTTGCGGTGAAATAGGTCACAGACTCTCGGCATGTCCATCACGTAATCGTCGAGGACTGCTACTCGACGCCAGAGGACTGTTATTGGACGCCACTGGACATGATGTTGAAATAGAATATCACGACGACACTCAAACACCAGTGTATGATGATTCTCCAAAAGAATTGGAAGCAGACACAGGATTTTCCCTTATGCTGCGACGCTCTTTCCTCGGTCCAAAAGCCTAACCCGACTTCCCACGACGAAACAACCTATTCAACTCTCGCTGAACAATCCAAGGAAAAGTATGCAACCTTATCATTGATTCCGGAAGTAGTGAGAACATTATCGCCGCAGACGCCGTTAAGAAACTTGCACTTCTCGATGAAAAACACCCTGATCTTTACAAGCTTGTGTGGTTACAAGAAACAAATGATGTCTTGATCACACGTCGGGCTCCGGTGGCTTTCTCCATCGGCAACGCATATCACGACCAAAATTATTGTGACATTGCGCTATGGACGCTTGTCATTTACTTCTTGGTTGACCTTGGGAATTTGATCGTCGAGTAATACACGATGTGTTTCTAAACACATATACTTTCAAATTCAAAGATCGTAACTTCACGCTCAAGCCCTCAATCCCACGAGGTCAGTCGCCAACATCTCCGGCAGCAACACCTTCGTCCTCCACACCGGCACCTCTTTTGTTACTTAATAAGAAACCTTTTGAAGCAGCATTACAGACTGAAAGCGTAGTGTTTATCCTCACCATGACGGCTTCATCTTAGGCAATCGTCCCTGACATACAGCCCGAGTTTTCAGACATATTTAATAAATTCTCCGACGTGTTTCCAGATGTCTTGCCACCAGAACTACCCGCTACGAGACATTCAACACCAGATTGACTTTGTCCCCAAGGCCAATTTACCTAACCGATCGCACTACCGAATGAGTCCTTCTGAGAACGAGGAGCTTCGAAAACAAGTTGAGGAACTCGTATCAAAAGGCTTCTTGCGCGAAAGCATGAGTCCATGTGCAGTCCCAGCTCTTTTGATACAAAAAAAGAAAAAAATGGTTCTTGGCGTATGTGTGTTGATAGTCGCGTTATCAACAAAATCATGGTCCGATATCGCTTCCCCATACCTCGCCTTGATGATTTGATCGATCAGACATGGTCCGATATCGCTTCCCCATACCTCGCCTTGATGATTTGATCGATCAGATAGGAACAGCGTATCTTCTCCAAACTCGACTTAAAAAGTGGATACCACCAAATCCGCATTCGTCAAGGAGATGAGTGGAAGAAAGCTTTCAAAACTCGGGAAGGACTTTTTGAATGGATGGTTATGCCGTTTGGTTTATCTAACGCGCCTAGTATTTTTATGCGAGTTATGAATCAAGCTCTTCGTCCTTTCATTGGAAAATTTGTCGTTGTCTATTTTGACGACATTTTAATCTTCAGCATTACCTTGGCGGATTATCTCTCACACCTCCGAGATGTCTTACTCGTTCTTCGTCGAGACAAGCTCTTTGCAACACGAAAAAAATGTGCTTTCGGCTCTCCACAAGTTCAATTCTTGGGCTATATCATCTCTGCAGCAGGTCTTGCTGTTGATCCAGCTAAAGTCTCTGCGATACAAACTTGGCCCGGACCAAGAACAATATCTGAAGCTCGCAGTTTCCATGGCTTAGTGTCTTTCTACTGCCGCTTCGTACCTCACTTCAGTTCTATTATGGCACCTTTAACGAACTGCATTCGAGATGGCTCTTTTGAATGGACACTAGAGGAAACAAAGGCCTTTCAAGCCATTAAATATAAGTTGAGTTCGGCTCCAATATTAGCTCTCCCCGACTTCACTTCTGTCTTTGAGCTTCACTGCGACGCCTCCAAGACAGGAATTGGCGCGGTCCGTAGCCAACATAAGCGGCCTATAACTTATTTTAGCGAGAAAAATTTCTGGTGCCAGGTTCCGTTATAGTACTTATGATATTGAGTTTTACGCGATCGTCCAAGCCATCAAGCATTGGCGACATTACTTGTATCATAAAGAATGTTTTCTCTTCACCGATCACGATGCATTATAAGACACCTCAGCACCCAAGACAAAGTTTCCTCGCGCCATGCCTCGTGGATAGCATATCTGCAACAATTTACTTTTGTGATCAAACACACTTCTGGTGTTAGTAATCGTGTGGCCGATGCCCTTAGTCGGCAACGCTCATTGCTATCAGTACTTCATGTCTCTGTTCCCGGTTTTAGTATGTTTGCTGATATATACCCGACTGATCCTTATTTTGAACCTATTTGGACAGCAGATCACCTACTGCTTTTGTGCTACACGATGGTTTTTTGTTCAGAGACAACCACTTGTGCATCCCTGATTGCAGTCTTCGACTTTAACTTATTTCAGAATTACACAACGAGGGCCATATTGGCAGAGATCATACCTTGTTACTCGTATCATCCTCTTACTTTTGTCCTTCTCTTCGTCGCGATGTCACACGATTCGTGGAGAGCTGTGTGAAGTGCCAAACTTCGAAAGGCCAAGCTACCAACGCAGGTTTATATCTTCCTTTACCAGTTCCAACTCAACCGTGGACCGATATTAGCATGGATTTTGTAATGGGATTGCCAACAACTCAGAAAGGTTTTGATTCTATCTTCGTCGTGGTGGATCGATTTTCTAAAATGGTTCAATTCATCCCTTGTAAGCGAACAACGGATGTTGTTCAACTGGCAACATTGTTTAATTTTTGGGAGATATATCGCCTTCACGGTTTACCCCTCTCCATTGTCTCTGATCGTGATTCACTTTTCCTTGGCCACTTCTGGAGATCATTATGGAAGCTACTGGATAGAAGTTTGGATATGAGTTCTGCTTACCATCCGCCGACCGATGGACAAACTAAAGTTACAAATCGTTCTTTGGGGAATTTATTACGTTGCTTGGTTGGCACTTCAATCAAGTCGTGGGATTCAAAACTTCCACAAGCGGAGTTTGCGCACAATCATGCCATCAATCACAGCACATGTTTTAGTCCTTTCCAGGTTATTTATGGAGTTGTTCCACGCGCACCTCCGGATCTTTCTACTTTGCCTGATCGCCGACGACTTCATGGTGGAGCTGAAACTTTTATGGAAGAGCTGGTGGACATTCATACACAGACTACGGCTAATTTAGAGGCTTCTGTCTCCAAGTATAGCAGCTGCTGATTCCCATCGCTGTCGCCTTGTCTTTCATGAAGGAGATCTCGTATGGGCTGTTCTTACACGTGATCGTATGCCGGCTCATGCATATAATAAATTAAAAGCTAAGAAGATTGGGCCTCTCAAAGTACTTTAGCATATCAATGACAATGCATATCGTCTTCAACTTTCGCCCGGTATCACAACTTCGGATGTGTTTAATGTTAAGTATCTCTCGCGCTACTTCCCGCCGGATGTGCCTTCTGATAAGCGGTCGAATCCTTCTCACCCGGGGGACCTGATGCAGCGGCATCCTAGAGTTCAACATCAACTTTCCTTTTTGAGTTTTGTTTTTACTTATGGCTTTGTGTTTTGTCTTTTCTTATTAGTTTAAGGTTTTTAATGACGATTTAAGAGTTCTATATAAAGAACTCTCTTATGACTTTTATGAGATAGACTTTTGATAATTAATAAAACTAAACTTTGCTTTTATACCTTAAAGAGATTTGATTCAATTGATCTTCTTAAGAAGCCTTGAAAGAGATTTGATTAAATTCATCTACTTCAATACGCAGGTCTCTAGAGAATTTCAATTGAAATCCCTAGATCGAGCTGATATCGTGTTCTTAACCGCCATCACGAGTTGATTGGAACACGTGTATATTTGGCGTTGTGATATCAGGGATACATGCATTTACAGCCCTCGTCCTGATGGAACAGAGGATCCCCGGAACATAAGACAAACAGAGTAGATATCTGGTATCAGCTTACCTTAGTTACTGATATGTGATGTGAATATGTGATGCACATTGCCTTTTTATCTTGGCTGTAGTGAGAGTAGGTAAAAGGAAAATTGTCTGTTTGTACTGTGTGTCTGTGTTACCACAATAAACATGTTTGCTGAGTTTGAAACATACTCAGAACTACAGGTGAGAGAGAAATGTCGGGACTGACACTGATTTACAACATATGGATTTGTGGCATGGGAATGATGTTAGATTCGAACAAACTCCATTAATATATAGAACAAAAAGACCAAACCAAACATGGGTGTCTGTCCATTAACACATTGATGCATTTTTAGAAGGTTTAACATCCGAAAACCACAAAATACATAAAGACAGAGCTTTCCAATCATCATCACAGGATGGAGCAGGCCTTCTGCGCTTTGCTCTTCTTCTTCTTCTGTTTTGGCGGTTGCAACACCACTCGTATGGCTGCGTCAAAGACAGCTTTCACATTCTGCATTCAAACACTCGCATTAACATTAGAAATATGTGCTAATGGTAAACACTAATCAATGTTGTTCATGTATACCTCTTGAGATTTGGAACTGCATTCAATGTAAGTAGGTGCTCCTATTAGCTTCCTCAGCTCCTCTCCCTGAGCAGTAGTAATCGGGACAGCACCAGGATGGTCGATGAAGAACTGCTTGTCATCTCGAAGATCTGAGCAACAACATGATCTTTGTTACAACTAGTTATTTAAAGGCGTGAAATCAGGCAAAAACAAATAACAATCTCACCAAGCTTTGATCCAACAAGGATGATGGGGACACCAGGCGCATAATGTTTCAACTCAGGGATCCACTGCAACACAAAAATTTGTTAAACTATGTGAGAGAGAGTTAACCACACTTTACAGCCAAATCAAGAATTTTTTTTAATGGATTAAGTTACCTTTTTGGAGACGTTTTCATAACTGGCTTTACTGATAAGAGAGAAGGCCAATATGAAAACATCTGCTCCACGGTAACTCAGTGGTCTTAATCTGTTGTAATCCTCTTGTCCTTTTTATTCATTATCAAAAATTTCAAAACCCTCAGATCCAAAAGCAGAAAATCCATATTTCAAAACATAAAAACTTAGCTATGTATGAAAAATACCTGCAGTATCCCACAATCCAAGATTAACGGTGGCTCCATTAACAACAACATTGGCACTGAAATTATCGAAAACGGTAGGCACATAATCCTGTATGATTAGAAACCAAGAACGTGATGAGAAGTTATTTTACAAAAGATGAAAAAATGTATCTAAATACAAAAATCATGAGGATGAGAGGGACATAACCGTAGGGAAAGTGTTGCTTGTGTAAGAGATCAACAAACATGTTTTTCCGACAGCTCCATCACCAACCGTCACACACTTTACGAATCTTGAAGCGCTCATTTTTCCCCTCTCAAAGCTCAAAGATTTGAGCTTTCAGATTTTTAAAACAGGCGTTGAACTGTAGATCCTTTGCTCTCTCTCCCTCTCTCTCTCTTTCTTTGTTAGTTTTCTTTTTCTTTTCTTTGTTAGTTTTCTTCTCTTTTGTTTTTTTTTGATAAGTTTAGTTTTCTTCTTCTTCTTCTTGATGCTCAAACTCAATCGACCATGTGGACATTGCGGATCGAAAGGAACAGATTTTGTCCCAGAAAATAGAAACCCGTTAGCCCAAAGAGAGAGAGAGAGAGAGGAAGGTGACAGAAACGAAAAACAAAAAGTTTGTTAGTTAGCTTTCACCGGGAAAATGGCGTTGAAACGTTCTCTGCCTCTTCCTCTCTTCTCTATTAATAGCTTATTTTTTCTAACAAACTTACCAATCAAATTGTCTGTTTATTTTAATTATGGAGAATTTATTATTTAAGGAGCTGTCTTTTTCCGCCGCCCAGTCTCAATCTTTACAACGAACAAATCCGTACTTGCTTGCTTATAAATCAATGACATTGTTTTAATTTATCATTAAACTTTCTTTCTTCTTTAAGCAATGCGCTAACTAATTACACCTAACAAAACTGTCCAAATTTAAATAAAGTGGTAGTTAAGTTGCATAATCACACGCACTCTAGTCCTAATTCCTAATGATTTAATATAACCGTTGGCATTGAGACTTTGATGTATAACCTTTTCAAAGAATGTCAAATCAGTATTATCTTTCTGGATGTTCTTCGATGAATGATCCGACTCGTCAGTCACAAGAAAGTGTAAGCTGTAGAATATAAACGATGACTGGCTTAATTACAGTTAAGCCATAGAAAGCGACCATTCCGTTGTAACTGATGTATATTCAATCATTAATCCTCGTGAAGGATTTTAATGATTAGAGAACTCTAATGATTACTAGAGTTGATTATAAACTATAAACTTTATGAGATTTGAAACAATTACGGTTTGTAAATCAAAGGAGATCCATATTCATATTTGGAGGTAGATGGTTCATACATTTTTAACACTTCAAATTTTGGGGCCAAAGTATATGGTTTTGGTTTACAGATCCTCACGGCCGGCCATGTCATCATTGTATGTTGTTAATGGGGTACCAATGTGAATAAGCAAGACCTGAGAGGTTTTTATTGAGACATTGATAGAAAATGTGGGAGCAACGTGAATAAGCAAGACTTGAGGGGTTTCCAATCAAACAGACATTCCTAAAGCAATAGTGACTTTTCTGGCAATGAGTAAATAGAAAGTCTTCACGCCTTTACGAATCCATTTGATTTTATTTGTTTCATCAGAACCTTGAGGTTGGATTATAGGGTTTCCACACAAACTGTAATGGAAATGTAATGCTGTTTCACGTACTTTCATCCAATGTAACATGGATAAGAAGTTCTTGAGTTGATGAAGTTTCAGGCAATGATTCAATGAAAAGTCTCTAACCAATAATTTTATAATAAAACAGCATTTACTCATGTTCATAACATGTTGGATACAGCAAAAAAAAAAAAAAAAGTTAGAGAACAAAATGGTAAAGCAATTTTGTTTGATGTCTCCTCTCTCTTATAGAAGCAATCTTTTAACTTCCTCTTGGTCCTCACCAATGCACTACACAGACTCAAAAGCATGCAGACACACACTTGAAAACCCAACCATTGCCTGAAACACATGAGGGAATCCCATCTGCAAGTTACTTAGAGTCATGGCTCCAGTCACGCTCACTGCCTTCTCATATGCTTACTTATCTCTTTATTCTCTGCTTCTGCTTTTTAGTATCTCAACCTTTACTCTCTTCTTTATTAATACATCATTCGTTGTCATATACACATCAAATATATTTAAACTTTTTTTTTATCAAAAATAACATTTAAAATGTTTGAAATTCACAGACTTAGAGTAATCAACATGGCCCCCTACGCAACAAGTATATACGACTTATTCTAGGTAAGATTTCGACAAGAACGGAATGAGTTAGGTCTATCAATTAATACAAAACCTTTGAAGACGGATAAAGGTTATTATGTCTGGTAACGAAACACACAGGACCGATGCGTAAACAAGTAATTTGATGTAGCCGAAGAAGCTTTACCTGAAAGTTTGAGAGAGAGAGCGGCGCAGAGGGAAGAAGTTGGTTTTCAAAAAATCCCGAGTCCGGAACCAACAAATTGCTCTAATCACATCGAATAAATACTATGCTTACCATAACTTGTCAACAGGGTCGTTGTAGTATAGTGGTAAGTATTCTCCCGCCTGTCATGCGGGTGACCCGGGTTCAGTCCCGGCAACGGCGTATTTTTTTATATTGAATTACTACAAAAATTAGAGAAAAGAATATTGGCTTGGCACGAGTTCGAACCGGAGACCTTCAATGTGTTAGACTGACATAATAACCAACTACATCACGAAACCATTTGACTTTTTTTGTTACAACTAAAGAGCTTTATAATCTTTGATAATATGGAACTAATCTTACTAAGTAGGGAGGAGGATCTTCTTACTATTCTTGTTGGAGATTAACTCCAAAACCCCCGTACCCTCCTAAATTTATGCTTACTATCCTAACTCTATTCTTCCTACCCTTTCATCAGTGCACTCTCTAAACTAGACTTTCTCCATTTATTTATCAATTAAATAAATCAACTACAATTCAACTACCTACATGACTGTTTAGGGAGAGTTTCACTCAATCCACTTTCGGTCCAACAAAGAAAGATTTCGACCCACTTCGATGGAAAGATGAGCTAACCAGTCTGCAAACCGGCTCATTCCCAATTCGGCCCAGCCGAATTAGGTCACAACATTCGCCGACCTAGGTCAAGACGAGGAGACTAGTATAAAGAGGAGAAGAGAGGCAATGAGAAGAGGATCTGAAAATTAGCCACTGAAGATTGACGGCAAGATTTACGGTTTATATCTTAGATCCAAACTTTTGTAATCTCGTTCTCGCTTTGATTCCGAACTCTTGTACTCGTTCGGATATTCAATAAACGTCTACCTAAGGTCACAAAAGAAATACTTAATCGTTTAACCTAACTTTAAATTAAACATTTGGTGCCGACTATGGGGACATTTTAGGAAGTAACGGTCCGAATGTCACCAACGGAACACATCGGAACCTCTGCTATGGGTAACGAAAACCCAGTCACTAAGGGACAAACAACCGAAGCCGAATCTCTATTCGGAATGATGAAGAACGTCCTCGACCGTCCTCGACCGTCTCCTCGAACAGTAGCGAGCTACCAAGGAGACAAACGAGCACCTAGCCGCCCTAACCACGACCGCACCTACACCAACCGCAGCCGAGGGGGACCATCCAGTCAGACGTCAACTCTTCACAACAAATAACCCTACCCCAAACGGAGCCGAACCTACGATGACTCCAGATCCCACGGTATCTCGCACGATCGCTGAATCACACTCTCGCTGCAAGATCTCAACACCAATATCCGCAGTGCGACGAGCTCAGCCCCATAAATCGACCGCGTCCTCGCCGTTACCCTCAAAACTTCGTTCACAAAGAAGATAACGAACGTAAAAGTTCAACGAGCCAAGAAGTTGCATGTTCCTTTCTACTCCGGGGACTCAGATCCGGCCGACCATGTCACGGCCTTTAACATCACCGTGGGGCGAACATCTCTCTCTGATGAAGAGAAAGACGCCGACTTTTGCCAACTTTTTGTCGAAACACTTTCCGAACCGGCTTTGACTTGTTTCTTCCGGCTACCAGAGGACTCCGTCGACAGTTTTTACGACCTTTCCACAAAGTTCCTCAAGCACTACATAATGTCCACAAGGAAAGGAGCCTCCGCCGCCGATCTTTGGAAAATTTCCCAGCTCCAGGACGAATCCCTCAAGGACTACATGGAGAGATTCAAGGCCGTGGTCGCGCTGGTCCATCTCCCGAATGAAATGGCCGTTGAAGTCCCTCAGAACTCTCTCTGGATAACCTTCCCTTTCAGGAAGGATCTGTACGGAAACCCAACTGACTCACTCCAGAAAGCCCTTCACAGATCTAAAAGTTTCATCATCATGGAGGAGGATAATAAGTCGTTCATCTCCAAGCAGAACGCGCTCAAACATGCGCCGGCCAAACAAGCAGAGCCTCAAGAGCAACGTCAGCACCTGCCTAACGCAGCACATAACGAAAAAAGAAGGGAGTCTTCGGCATCACCGAAGGCAAAAAGACCTCTCCCGCCGAAGGTAAGGAAAACCCTTCTCCCCATTCATGGAACATAATGACGCTCGACGTCGGCGGCAAACTTCAGATGGTCCAACCAACTATTACCAACACTCAACAACTAGCACTGACGGCGTCTTCAGCCACCTATGACCCGAATAGGTCCTGTGACTACAACAAAGCCAAGGGGCATGACACCAAATAGTGTAAACAACTTCATGAGGTTCTCCTCGCAAATTTCTTCGCCGGGGACGCAGGCGTCGAACCAAGACCCAAAACCACCAAAGGTAATAGAGGTGGTGGTATAAGCCGAGAAAGACGCAACCAAAAGGCGATCACCGGAACCACAGACCCCAAACGATCAGAGTCGCAACCCTGACACTAATCGGACGATGACAGCGCTGACAAGAGAGACCACGAAGCAGAAAACAGATCCGCATCATTCTTTCTGGACCTCCTTCACCGCCGCCCCCGAGAGCAAGGCCACAACTCGCCAACAACGAGACCAAGATCTGTGACTTCCACGGTAGCCAAGGGCATAGTACCAAATAGTGCGAACAACTCCGCGACGGTTGATGACCAATTTCCTCGCCGAAATTAAGCAGCGATCACCCACAGAAAACCAACGGGAATGACGAAAGGAAATACATAAAGCGGATCGGCGCTTCCTTGCCGGCGGCTCCCAAACCAACTCCCAAACCAACTCCCAATCCCATAATTCAGATGCACAAGCAACTAGCGGCACTAGATCCTAACAACATGTGTCCTAGAATTGCTCGACTAACTAGCTCAGACA